TACTTGTGTTGCAAAAAAGAAGCACGACAACGATAAATCTGAAACGCTTAAAATTCTTGGAACTTGGCTGTGTAATGTAGTAGCTAAGACAAATAATGATGCATTCAAGGATCGGTTGTTGACAGAAGCAGCGCCACTACTACGAGTTTTTCAGAAATCCGAGTCTAACACTGCTATTGAGCCTACAACTACTATTGAGCCAACCAATAGTAAGCCTGCAACGTTACGCCCACTTGTAATTAGAACGATACTAAAAACGAATGATATGCTTCCAGCGCGTACTCCAATGGCAGTAACAACAGAAAACGCTCGTGAGTTGGGAGAAAGTATAGCCAGAAGCGTAATAGATTCACGTGACCGAGTAAAAGAAAACAAAGCCATAGAAATGCCCACTTCATTAGATGATTATGAACAAGCACTTCCTAAACCTTCAATGACATTATTTCGCACAATTATTTCTACGCTCTATGAGGAACGGCGGATTAATAATAGAAAAAGTAAACAAAAGGCCAATAATGAAGAAAAAATCAGGATGATAACTTTGTTCCTGGTTTCAATAATTTTGTCGACGGCATTCAAACATACGAAAGTCTGGATCACACGTACTTTGGCATCGATTTGCCAACAACCAAAATTATTACCATCATTACGAACATTCCTTGGATCAGTGAATGCTATATCACATACCAGTATTCACGAACGTCGATTACAAAGAGGTCGTATGCAAGCTGCAGATCCTGTCAAGCGACTTGAGGTTAATCCATTTATTTGGAACGTCTGCATAATCGACAATATCGACTTAAAAGAATCGACATATAAATATGGTAATATATACGACACAGCTCTGCAAACATTTCATGCAACGCTGCGTATGGTACTTCAGTTCAGACTTCCGCGATCATTGGATTCGATCCCTGACGACAAAATTCGACTTACCATGGAGCATAGCTTATTTGGAAAAAACGTCAAAAGCGAAGACTGGTCCCAAAAGGTTAATGGCGTTTTTGAAAACTTGGTCACATCATCAGATACAATTAATCTGCTCAATATCCATGAGGCACTCATAGAAGGTGTTGAGATCGGCTGTAATGTAGAAAAGCCGAATCTAGTAATTCTCGAGGCTGGTGATAAACCATCATCAGATTTAAACATTTTCAAAACCTGTATGGCCTATTATCAGGATTTGAACTTAAACAATCAAAGTAAATTGGATATATGGGCAGATCAGGCAATCCACCAGCGGCTCTTAAAAGTTCAAGACAAACACAAGCAATTACGAGTAGGATTGGGACAGTGGCACACTTCCAATTGCATGAGTAACACACTCGTTGTAATTTTTTCCAGTTATGGTATATATAACTTTGCTTCGGAGCTTGGAGTAAAGTTTCTGGAAAAACTCGCAAAAAATGTGGACTATCGGTCAACGTGCAATGTCTTAGAGATGATTTGGGCATCGACTGGTATTGCAATTAACAAGTATCTCTTAAAAAAAGGGCTGACGTTGGCAGAGCTGATGGATGGAGATAACGATTTAGTGAAAGTGTGGCTATTGTTTTTCAAATGGGCTAGTTTCTGGAAAGGGCATAAGATAGGAATTCGACGAGCAAATTTTGATATGCAATTCTCT